CCAGCCGCCAGCACGCAACGGTGGGCGCGCAGCATGCTCCCGTGGATGCGGACCGTCACGTCACAGAAGTGGCCACGGTTGCGCTGCTCGTTGAGGGTCTCGAGCACAGAATTGCTGAAGTTGTGGAGGTTGATGCTATGAATGCGCTCTGTCATCCCCTTGCAACTGATGTTACCTGGAACAGAGCGGGAGACAAAGCAGAACAACTGATTAGGTCTTGTCCTCTGCGGAGCCACAGTCAAGGCCCTGGCTAAGCTGACTGCCCAATGGATAAATGAAACAAAGAATATTGCAAAAATCACATAAAAAGGTACCACAAAGAAAACATCTCCTTTATTAGACACAGAAGAAATTTATGTCACTCACTAGTAGTTCATGTTAATTCATGTCAAAGGCAGGTACAGCTGCCCTAAATCTCAACCACAGTTCTGGGCCTAGGATTGCCTATCAGTTTATACAGCTTAGTGAGGCTAGAGACAGCCAATTGTAAACAACGAGCACGTGGATTAATCCCGTATTTTTGGCTGTCTGACTGTGGACCCAAAGCAGAAAAGATCAGATTCTTACTTTAATGACTCGTCACACCAAGTTGGTTGCACAAAGAGCATATATGAAAATCTAACCTCTATCTAGATCATGATTTTAAGAAAATTGAATCCCAGGTTTTATGGTTCAGCCACTTGTATCAAAAATCTTGCAGTGACTTTGTAAAATAAAATCTATTTCAAGATTTGAGCTTTTTGTCTGGAGCTGTGGTTTAGAACATTTGTTACCCAATAGTGAGAAACAGTCCTCTATAAGAAACCAAAGCAAGAAGTTCATATGAGCTATCCCCTTCATTTTTTTCATATGCTGGGAAGCATATCCCAGCTTCTGACTGGCACCAGAACACCATTATATAAAAACAAATGTTCTCCTGCTGTTATTTACTTAACAGAAACTGGAAAATTACAGAAATGTTCATTAAGGAAAACTTTGCTTTGGTTTGGCTGAATAATATAAGTAAGGAACAGTTTAGAAAAGCATTTAACTGATTTGGGTATAGACCCAACAAGTCCTTCAAAATAACTTTTGCAAGTGCCTGAAAACCAACTTTTAAATTTGTCAATCCAGTGTTCCCTATGCTCATCTTGCTTACTTTGGTTTTAATATTTTTTGGTTTCTCTTCCTGTTCATCACCCATTATTCAGTTATTTAGATTTTGATGGTAGAAACTACATTTTCATCTTAAACTGTGAGAACCTCTTGACCTCTGAGAGCTAAATACATAAAAACATTATTAATAATTTCCATCTCTCAGCATTTATAGTACATGCACCACCTTGGTTCCCAAAGTGTACACATCAAAAAGCAATACAAAAGTCACCAGTGGTAGTACCAGTATTTTGCTGGAAACATTCCTAATAAAGCTGCAACTCCTCTTGCTGCAGTTACTTGCTAATGTCTAAGAATCTAAAAGTGAAACTTGGTAAACTGTGGAGTTCTCCCTCTCCTGCCCGTTCCTTCTCATTTATCCACTCCTGTCATCTTGAACACTCTCTATTCTGGGGCTTCAAAGAGAAACCACCATGGACACAGGTGGTTACTTTAATTCTCTGAAGCAGCTGATGATGAAACAGAAGCATAAAGGTTAGGAAGTGGAGATCCTGATGGGACCAAGCTGTCTGAAGAAGTCGGATGCTAACACATATAACGCAGCCAGTCTCAGAAAGGTACGAAGCTCCACGTGAAACCGGAGCCCTGGGGGACTCACTCAGAGTCCTCATGTAGCAGCAACAAGGGGCAAGGCACTAACAGCTTCATGGAGGATGTGAATTACATCTGCCTTGCTCCTAAGCGTGGCCAGGACACCAGAACCTCTTTCTCTATGAGAGTGATTATAGGACTGGATAAAGGTTGTCCTAGAAACTGGCAGGCATATCCAAGGCCTCTCCTTCAGAGGTTTTACAGCTATTATCACCCAAAATAACGTACAGAAGAGAGTATCCCCTCCTCTTCCCCAGGTTTATTTTCTGGAGGCCTCTGGACTGTTGCAGATAATTCCCTTCACAACATGTCAGATGACAGAGAATTCAAAATCCATTTAAATAAAAGCTGAGAAGTTTTGCTTTGAAAGGAAAAGAACTTGGGAAAGTTTTATGCTGGTAAGGAAATAGAAGAGCAGAAGGTTAATGATGAACAGTTAATGCCTTTTTTAAAAGCTGCCATAGGCCATGGAAACTAGTTGTATAGCTCCCCATTTCTGTGCATTTCCCTTTGATTGACAGAATACCAACATGTTAGAGATCCTGCTGTCAGTAAGTGCTGATTACTACTTGGTTTGCTCCTCAGGATCGCTTTTCATGCCAACAGGTCTTTTTAAAAGTGCTCTTGGAAAAAGAAATGGCTTCTAACTTACATTCTGTTTTATAAATGTCCCAGAAGGATGCTGTGGGCAGGACTTTTAACTCCAGTAGGTGCAGACTACAACTGCATTCTCATTCCTGTAGAGAAAATTAATTGCCTGCGTGCAACTCTGAAAACTGCATCTTCAGGACCAAGTCCATCTCAAAAAGAGCTGATATGCATAAAGAGGCCATCTGACACCCCTGGGAAAGTGATTTCTACCATTTATTCGTAGATCATGAAATGCATTATATACAGAAAAGAGGCAGGAAAAGGTTCCTCCATAAGTTTCAGCAGCCTTTCTCAGGCCCTGTCTGTGGCAAAGAGACTTACAAAGTCCCGGTGCATTTAGCCACCAGCTTACTCGGCGTAAACAGCCGGCCAGGGTCAAGCAAGGCTAATGAAAAAATTTTTGTGTGCATTCATGAGACAGTGATATAGATAGTTCTCCTACAGGCACTGATCTAGGATGCTAAACTCCTTGATGTGTAGAAATTGCCCTGCAAGTCACTAGAGTCAATTCATGTAAGGCAGAGAGTAAATTTTGATTGCTTTTGGTAAAATAAAGCTTTCTACTCAAAAAATAGTCTTCTGATTTCTTTAATTCTTCAAGTGAAATAGGAACATCTACTACTTCTTGAACTAAAAAATGTCAGAACTTCACTTCTTAGGGACAAAACAAGATGGGTGGATGTAAGAGGCATACAGCTAATGATAAAAAAAAAAAAAGGCAGCTAATGCAGATTTTGAGGATATTTTCTCTAGGCCACCTTCCTAAGGAGTCTCCTAAAATACAGGAATAAGAGTAGTAATTTTCTTTAACAAATTCCAGAGATTGGTCTGGAGCCAAATCAGCTATTCCACGCAAGTCTCTCTGCAGAAAACCATGCCCAAGTCCAAGTTTTGTAGTTGTCTCTTTCTTGTATATTCTTCTAACCCAAAAGTGCCAAGGCAGTGCAGTCCATAGAAGGAGATCTTATCAACACAGGCTTGTTTCTAAAGTAAATGTCACATTCTGATGAAGAACAACAGAGACTTGGACAAGCCAGGGAGTGTAACACCTCCTCACAAGACCCAGCTGCCTACACACACACACACACACACTCACTCACCTACTTGGCACTGGCTCAAGAAAAATCCTGCTGTCTTGGGCTCTTCTCAAGCCTCCCCTTCTATTAAACTCAAGACAGTGGGAACCTTTCCATGGAATTCAAGCAGTCTTTGTTCAGTGTGTCCCCTTCCCTGGTATTTTTTTTTTAAGTCCAGTAAACATGATGTAGAGATCCCCATGGGTTCATTCTGAGAAACTCCTGTAAAATGGTTTTGTCCCCTTTCTATGAAGAAAGTTCTCATTGGAAGGGTATTCACAAACCATATAGGAAAGAATGAGTGTGAAACTGCAAAAGCCATTCTTACCCAGATGGGCAATGAATAGGTGTTAGGCCTGTTCAAAAAAAAAAAAAAGGGCAGAAGAAAGAAAAGAAAAAAACTCTTAGACAACTACATAGATTATGCACATTTGCAGTCCTCCTGGGATGCAATTTGAAGCTGGCATGGCATAAAGGTGAAGCATATTACTGTGAAAGTTTGAAAAAAGCTCCATTTCTCCATATGCAAATGTCCTGATTAAACTGTCAGGCTATTCACAAAAACATGCATGGAATTCATCCTAGGCTAGTATGAAGGAGGACAACATGGATGGGAAAGGGAAAAAACTTTTGTTGTGTAATACATGACTGAGTGCTTAGTTTAGCATTTTCTTGAATCCCATCCACTCACTCCCGCTGACTTTTATGCTATGGGTATTCAATAGAAGATGGATTTTACCATAAGAATGACAAGAACAGCCTCTCCATGTACAGTACCAGGGGAAAAGACAATGGCAGAAGGGAACAGCAGGCAGTGGTCTCCTGGAACACACTATAGAAATTGTGGAAGTGCTGTACTGAGATACAGAAGTGTGGGACAGTGTTAAAGATGGCTTTCTATTTCCCCACACTAGCATACATAGCCCTGTACAAAACTGGAAAGATATGGCCTGCAAAGGCAATACTTTTTGTTTGCCAGAAACATAGAATATAATCCTAGCAATTATATGATGTAGTAGAGCTACAAAGATGCACAGAATATTGAAGACTGCAGATTACATGCACATACGGTTAGGTTCTGCATTAAAAAAAAAAAAAGGTTCTTTTTTGGTATAGCCACTAGATGTCCCTTTCTGCAAAGCAATGCTTGATGCTTGAATGCTTATAACTGAGAGGTATCACAAAATTTGATCTTCTCTAGTGTCCTTTAAAATTATGGCATTTCAAAGCTCATTGCTACTACTGCTAGGAACACAGTGACTAGGAAATCATGACAGCTACTGAACTTGAGCAGCTCAATGTGTAGCCTTCTCCCGAACCAAACTGCCTGGGGCATTGGAATCCAAGCTCTTTCTGAAACTACTCTGGAGTCTTTCACAGGAATATCTAATGCTCAACTTTGCCTTCATACTTGAGAAGTAAAAAAAAAAAAAAAAAAAAAACTTAAATCCTTGAGAGTTGGTGGTGTTGTGAAGGATGATATGGATTGTTTTCTGCATAAGCATTCAGAAAATTGTTTTGCAACCAACCTCACTGATATTTAGACATGCTAACTGGAACTCGTTTGACATTCCAGTTTAGTTAGTCTTCTTGACAAGCTTCTCAGGCTTCACACTGAGAAAAATACACATTCTGAGAGATAGCAGATAAGTTACCATCACTGTATCTCCTATTGAATTGTGTGATGCCTTTACAATTTTAG